AATACAATACAATACAATACAATACAATACAATACAATACAATACAATACAATACAATACAATACAATACAATACTAAAATATGGAATAGAAAGAACAGAACAGAACAGAATAGAAAGGAGGGGAGGGGAGGAGAAGAGGAGAAGAGAAGAGAAGAGCAGAGAAGAGAAGAGAAGAGAAGAGAAGAGAAGAGAAGAGAAGAGAAGAAGAGAAAATGTGGAATGGAATGGAATGGAATAGAATAGAATAGAATAGAATAGAATAGAATAGAATAGAATAGAATAGAATAGAATAGAATAGAATAGAATAGAATAGAATAGAAGGCCAAGTGTGATTGGACACACAAGGAATTTGTCTTTGGTGCATACGCTTTCATAAAATGAAAAGATACGTTCATAAGGTGTTGGTGACCATCTTTAAAGCGCTCCATGGCTTAGGGCCGGGGTATCTACGAGACCGCCTTCTGCCACCAATAGCCTCCCACCGGCCAGTACGCTCCCACAGAGTGGGCCTCCTCAGGGTGCCGTCCGCCAGACAATGTCGGCTGGCGACCCCCAGGGGGAGAGCCTTCTCTGTGGCAGCGCCCACCCTCTGGAACAACCTCCCCCCAGAGCTACGTACAATAACAGACCTCCGGATTTTTCGTCGGGCCCTGAAAACCCATTTATTCCAACTAGCTGGGCTGGCTTGAGTCAAATTTTAAATGGATTTTAAATTGGAATGTTTTAATCACGGCCAAAATTATTTAATTATTTTAAACAGTTTTTAGACTTTGTATGTTTGTATGTATGTCTTGTTTTTACTTTGGCTGTTCACCGCCCTGAGTCCTACATTGGAGAAGGGCGGTATAGAAATTTAAACAAATAAATAAATAAATAAATAAAGAATCATAAGGTACAACACTTAATGGTAGTCATAGGGAACAAATAAGCAATCAAATCATATTAGGAAACAGTCAATATCAATCGTAGGGATACCAGCAACAAAATTACAGTCATGCAGTCATAAGTGGGAGGAGATGGGAGGTGGGAACGATGAGAAAATTAATAGTAGTGCAGCCTTAGTGAATAGTTTGACAGTGTTGAGGGAATTATTTGTTTAGCAGAGTGATGCCGTTCGGGAAAAAAATCCGCATACAATGATAACAGACAAGAATAAGGTAATCCTTGATTTACGACCACAATTGAGCCCAACGTTTCTGTTGCTAAGCAAATCATTTGTTAAGCGAGTTTTGGTCATAAGTTCATTTAACAATGCTTCTTAAGTCAATCACAACAGTTACCTTGGGACACTGCGACCGTCATAAATATGAGCCAGTTGCCAGGCATTTTAAGTTTGGATGCATGACTGGGGGGGGGGGGGGATGCAACAGTCATAAGTCATTTTTTTTCAGTGCTGTTGTAACTTTGAATGGTCACCAAATGAACGGTTATAAGTCGAGGACCAGGTGTCCTGATCAAGGAGAGCCATCCTGCTCTGCAGAGGCAAAGCTTATAGTGAAGATCCCTTTGGCTCTGCAGGTCAGGAGGGCTCCATGTCACCCTTGGGCCTCTAGAGATTGTGCAGTGTGTGCCAGTCCATGGTTGTGGCACACGGGCGTGGCAGCTGCACCCTGATTGACTCTTGACTTAGAAGCTCACACAAAACACAAAACTGGTGGCAACTTCTGTTCCACTGGTTAATTGTTCTCACTGTTAGGAAGTTTCTCCTTAGTTCTAGGTTGCTTCTCTCCTTGATAAGTTTCTATCAATATAGAGCTGGAAGGGACCTTGGAGGTCTTCTAGTCCAACCCCCTGCTCATTTCAGACAAGTGGCTGTCCAGTCTCTTCTTAAAAACTTCCAGTGATGGAGCACCACAACCTCTGGAAGTAAACTGTTCCACTGATTAATTAACAGAATACCAGAGCTGGAAGGGAGCTTGGAGGTCTTCTAGTCCAACCCCTGCTCGAGCAGGAGACCTTAGACCAATGATGGCTAACCTTTTTGTTGTCGCGTGCCAAAAGCGGGGGTAGTGGGGGGGGATTGCACGTGCGCGTGCCCACACCCATAATTCAATGCGCCCCATCCCCCCACGCATGCATGCGTGACCCCCACCCCTCGCTCTCCCCCTGCTTTTGGCACGCAATGACACGGTGGGCCCGGTATACCCATTTTTTGCCCTCCCCAGGCTCCAAGAGCCTTTCTAGGAGCCTGGGGAGGGCGAAAACGGCCCTCCGGAGGCCCTGAAACAGCTCGTTTCCTGACTTCCAGTGGGCCTGGAAGGCCCAAGGCCTGAGGTAGGGCAACGCTCGCGTGTCCACAGATATGGCTCCGTGTGCCACCCGTGCCATAGGTTCGCCATCACGGCCTCAGACATTTCTCTATACCAAGAGTCTGCTTGGCTCAGCCCAATCGTGGCTTGTTCTGTGGCTGTGCAAATGCCTGGCCATCCCTCCGCCTGCATTGTGGGAAGGGAACGGGTGTTTGCCACCTATTTTTTCAGCGGTTTCTAAGGAGAGAAAGGAGCCGAGAAGCAGGCCGGCCTTCCCTTCTTCGCAGATTTTCCGCCGTTTGCCCACCTCCCTCCCGGCCGCCTGTGGAATCTCCGTCTAAATAAACAGGCCGATCCATTGTGGGCTGGAGATAATGTTGTTTTTTCCATGTCAAACGATTCCAGACTTCTCGGTTCACCCAAAAAAATTCTGTGCTGCCTGCTTGGGAGGAGCGGCAAGAAATCCAGGCTTAAAGGGGGTTTAGTCCCCCTCTCGGTGCCTGGGGGGAGAGAGGCAGAGACCCCCAGGCTGATCTCGGCTGTGGTTTGGGGGTTCAGGAGGGGCCGGGCTGCTGCAGACCAGAGCAGTGCTTCGTCTGGGGTTGTGACGGAGGAAATTCAGGGCAGACCAATTCAGCCTCAGTCCCGGTCCAGAGCCAGCAAATGGCAGAAATATTCCCATCCCCTTCCAAAATCTTGTCTTTGGTTCCTGAAGCTTTAATTTGTTTACTGCAGCGGTCCTCACAATCCCCCGTGGCGCCACCCTGATGCCTGCTTCTCTGCGCAGCGGGCACGGAATTGGCACCTGAGACGGGGCACACCTGCGGGGCTCAGCGGTTCATGCCAGGACATCCGGGGCTGAGCTGCTTGGAAGCTGAGTGGTGCCCTCTTGGAGAAACTGGGGGAGGGGGGGAGCCCTGACCAGCTTGTGGGGCAGTTTCAAACTCAGCCGTCCTAGTGTGCTAAGGATGGGGGAGGGGAGGCAAGGGGGCTCCGTCAGAAGCAGCATTCTGGAGGGGAGGACAGAGACCCCTCACAGCTCTGGCTCTGATCAGATGCTAAAGCAAAAGAACTAGGTGGGACTCAGAATAACAGCGTTGGGAGGGACCTTGGAGGTCATCTAGTCCAACCCCCTGCTTGAGCAGGAGACCCTATACCATTCCGGACAAATGGCTGTCCGATCTCTTCTTAAAAATCTCTTAAAAACGAGTTCCACGTTGCTTGTCTCCTTGATTAGTTTCCATCCGTTGCTTCTTGTCTGGCCTTGAGGTGCTTTGGAGAATAACTTGTCCCCCTTCCTCCTCTCTGGGGCAGCCCCTCAGATATTAGAAGATGCTCTCCTGTCTCCCCCTGGTCCTTCTCTTCACTAGACTAGCCGTGCCCACTTCCTGCAACCGTTCTTCATATATTTATCTTCATTGCTCTTCTCTGCACTCAACATCTTTTTTATATCATGGTGACCAAAACTAGATGCAGGATTCCAAGGGGGGCCTTTTCAAGGCTTTATAAAACAGTATTAACACTTCAGGTCATCTTGATTTCATCCTTCCCTGTATTGGGCAGTTTCAGACCAAATGAAATGTCTTTGGCAACCTTATCTGCCTGCAGGGCATTTCCTTCAGCATGGGTACTGTGAGATCATCCAAACGGTCCCTGCTCTCCTGCTGCTGGGGAATTTTCTGCAGTCTGCATTTCTGGCTCCGGGGTCTCCATTAGCGCACATTATGAGGGGGGGGTGGGGAGTTCCAGAGGAAATTCTGCCCTGCTGCAAAAATGCCTGGGGGTCTTGGGAGGGGGTGCCTGATATCTGCCACAGGGCTGTGGGGGAGGGAAGTGGGAGCTTGTGCATCAGATTGCAGGAGTTAAGATGGGGAGGGCTGAAAAAGGAAGAGAGGTGGGCCAGGGACCTGTGAGTGGGGGTCTGCTTTCTTTATCTTAGATCATCAAAGGAAGGTAACAAAGACTGACTAAACAGGCCAAAAAAAAAAAAGACAGCCGATCTGGATCTCTCCCAGTGGCATGTGCCCAGCCCCTCACAGTTTGCTGTGCCCCCCTCACCGAGCTTTTTGTCCCTAAGTGCAAATGCCAGCTTGGGAGGCCCCTCCCCTCCTTATCTCTTGAAACCAACCATGCCCAAATGTGACACCTGCCCAGAGGGAGGAGGGGCGCCCCTGTCTCCATTCCTGCCTGCCACCGATTTCTCCCGGTGCCAATGTTTGCCCAGCGGGAGCAGCTGTTTGAGTTACCAAGAACCATCGCCAGCAAAAAGCTGGGATGTTTTGGTCAGCCAGCCCCTCGTCCTTTGGGCAACTAGATCCTTCCTGATCTTTTGGGTGGATCTCTTTACAGGAAGGGAGGGAAGGAAGAAGGAAGGAAGGAGAAAAAGAGAGGATGGAAGGAAAGAGAGAGGAAAGTTTGAAGGAAGGAAGGAAGGAAAGAGGAAGGAAGGGAGGGAGGCAGGGGAAAGAAGATGGGAGGGAGGGAGGAAGAGAAAGAAAAAGGAAGAAAAAGAAGAAAGAAAGAAAGAAAGAAAGAAAGAAAGGAAAGAAAGAAAGAAAGAAAGAAAGAAAGAAAGAAAGAAAGAAAGAAAGAAAGAAAGAAAGAAAGAAAGAAAGAAAGAAAGAAAGAAAGAAAGAATCACCTGGTTTGGAACAGGGACCCTGACAGCATTCCAATTTTAGCACTCAGCCCCCTGATGTTGTTCTTTTTTCTTCCTTCTCTTCCCCCCACCCCACCCCCCATTCTTTTAGATGCTGAGCCTCACCGGCTGGGTGAGCAGAGGGCTGGTCCTTTTTGCCATGGTGCTCACAACCGCCTCCATCACCACATCAGGAGAATGGGGAGAAGACGGTGAGCCCCACCTTCAGCCCTGGCTGGGAGGGCTGCCTGCAGAGGGCAGGGGGGCAGGGGCACTTTTGGCTGAAACCACCCACCCCCCTTCGTAAGGGGGAGGGAAGAGGGACTGCAAGGCCAAAGAGGTGGCTGCTGCAACCTTCTCCGGCAGCCTTGAGCTCCCTGGAGCATCCAATCTTATGCTCTGGGGCTTTTCTTCCAGGGGTGACCTATGCCGAGCTGGGGAGTGACGTGGTCCTGACCTGCCCCGGAGCAAACGCAAGGTAGGTACCTGAGCAGGCCCGATCCTGGTCCCATCCAGGTGTCTTGTGCAGGATCTGTCCAACGGAGGGTCAGAAGAAACCACAAGTGACCCCTAAGGCAGTTGAAGGTACCTTGCTGTCCAGCCCAGTTTACAATGAGTCTCTTAAAACATAGAATAGAATAGAATAGAATAGAATAGAATAGAATAGAATAGAATAGAATAGAATAGAATAGAATAGAATAGGCTGGAAGGGACCTTGGAGGTCTTCTAGTCCAGCCCCCTGCTCAGGCAGGAGAACCTGTATTATTTTAGATAAGTGGCTATTGAGTCTCTTCTTGAAGACCTCCAGTGATGGAGCACCCACAACTTCTGGTGGCAAGCAGTTCCACTGGTTAATTATCCTCACGGTTAAGAAGTTTCTCCCTAATTGTTCCCTCCCTTTTTATATGCAGCAGCTTGCCCTGCCAGTTTTAATGGCGTTGCAGTTTCTTCCTTGTTGAGTCCTTGATTATTGTTTTCCGCCTGATCATTTGTCTGGTGCTGATGCCTGCTTCTCTGTCTGCCAGAAGGGACATGCGCTGGTGTTTAGGTTTCCTTCCTAGATTGTTTTAATTGTCACTTTTGAAGGTGGTGTAAATGTGGACATGTTGACAAACCAGTTTGGATTCAGGTACCTCTTTGCTTGTGGGTTTCAGAGTGAGCGTTTTTTAAAAATTAGTCTTAGAGATGCAGCCTTGATGTGGGTTGCCAGCGTTTTTGTGTGTTCTGGGCAAGAGTTTGTTCCAGAGGCTCCTTGAGGTTCTCTCTTGTTTAGTCTGAGCTGAGAATCCAGGATCATTAGCCGCATCGTTTTTCAGCTGCTTTGTTGAGCTATTTTTCCATCCAGCTGGGCAGCACATCGGAGGTTTGTGTTTGACCCTGGTGGGCAGAGATGCTGTCCCGGGTATTCCTGCAGAAAGAGCCCTGGATCCCCACTGGAGGTTTGCCTACATGCACATTTCTCTCGTTTAACGGCTTTCTGAAGCCTTTGGTGCCCTTATGTGGCACCCCTTGAGTCCCTGGGGCTCTCGGCGCTTGGATGTTGTCTGGTAACCACGTTTTTTACCTATCTTTACCCATGTTTTCCCGAAAATAAGGCCCTGTCTTCTATATTTTTTTGAACCCTGAAATAAGCGCTTGGCCTTATTGCCATGCGCTCAAAAGCCCGATTGGGCTTCTTATCAGGGGACGTCTTATTTTGGGGGAAACAGGGTAGGTAACCACATCAGTGCTAGAAGGGAGGGAGGTTTGCAGGGAGGAGGAAGAGGAGGAGGAGGAAGAAAAGAAGGAAGAGGAGGACTGGGGTCCTTGTTGCTCTCTGAGTTTGGTGGTTTTCTTGCAGATGTTTCATTATGTGACTAGGAAACATCATCAGTAGGAGGGAATATGAGGCTTGGTCCCTATTTATTAGGATTGCAAGTTTTCTAGGCTCCCCCCCAAAATGCTCTAGGATTTCCAGAAGCTCGGTATTCAGACCAATCAGCCATCATTTGACACATAGAGATAAACTACATTTACACATCATTCAAAAGAATAAAAAACTAATAGGGAAACAAAAAGGCCAGTATTCCTTAAGCAAGGATTAACTCCAGACAAACAAGTAAAAAACAATACCCAACATCAAGGAAGTACTAGGAAACAAAACCCCACACTCACTCGTACTGATGATGTGACCCAGTGGGGTCATGAAATGTCTGCTCGAAAACAGCCAAGCTCAGAGAGCAGCATAGTTCAACCCTGAGCTATAAATATTTGAATGACCCCTTTTGATCTTCTGCCCCAGACCTACAAGTTTTGAGCTCCTGCTGTTGTCTAAAAGTGTTTTTTCAAAAAAAAAAAAAAAAACAATATCTGCCTTTCCTAAGCATCCCTCAAATTTTTTTAGTTTTATATAAACGATTTGGGAAAAATGAACCCTAGATTGAGTTTCAGAGATTTTAAGGGAGTATATTTCAAATACAGAGGAATATTCCCCCATCTGTGCCAGCCTGGGGCATGCCCGGTCTAGCAGGCCATTCATGCCTGTGGTGGGAAACCAGTCTCCGCATAGGAAACCACAAGGGAAACAGCCGGTCACTTCGCCCTTCTTCGCCCCGTCTTGTGGGCATTGACCCTGAAAGGGCCCCAGAAGCCTTCCCGTTGGGGAAAGTCCTTGGCCGCCTTGTTTCTCCTGAACTTAACTGTCCTTTACTCCCCCTCCCCACCCCCCAAAAGAAACCTCTGCCTCGCCAGCTGGCAGTTGCGAAGGGACGCTGCCTTTGGTTCAGAATCCGAATAGCGCTGGAAGGGAACTTAGAGGTCTTCTAGTCCAACCCCCTACTCAAGCAGGAGATCCTACACCATTTCAGACAAGGGGCTGTCTCTTCATACGTAGTTCTCCTTTAGTTCTTTAGTTTATTTAGTTAGTTGGTTAATTGCCTTAGTTCTGCTGAAGGCTCTTGAAGGCAGCTGCAGGGAAGGACCTCAAGAGGGATGGATTGGGAGGGGGGGCAGCATTGGTAGCAGTTGGTGGGCACCCCTTTCATCAGTTGGGGGCACCGTGCAGCTTCTCCTTGGCAGCAATTGTTGGGCACCCCATTCAGAGATAAGAAGTCAACTGGGGAGAACTCGCAGCTTAGATGTAAACTAATTAATGTACACTAATTGGCATACATTAAAATGAAATTTCATTGCATCCCAAAGCGTCTCCATCTCCAATATACACTACATAAACATGACAACTAAATGAATCAATACAAAACCATGCATAGACCCACCTATACTACTCTTTGAGAATGTGGGATGGGCCCCTGGGGGTCTCCTCCCCTGGCCTCACGGCAGCTCTTCGGTCTCCTCAGCTCCTTGAGCAGGTGGCAGCGGAATGGGGGCTCCGGGCTGCCCACAGACTCCAAGGTCCAGCAGGGCCAGCTGCTCTTGAGCCACGTGGACCTCTCCTCCGAAGGCACCTACAGCTGCCAGGATGGTGGTGGGCTTCTCCTGGGCTCCGTTGCCCTCCGAGTTGGCCGTAAGTCTGGGTCTCATGTGGGAGAGAATCGTATTTGCCTGGGGGACGGGGGGGAGGGGCATTCTGAACTTCTCCGGGTTAAGGAAGCCACTGAGTGGTGAACTGTGGGTAGGGTACAGATAGTCCTCCACTTACAACCGTCCAAAGTTGCAACAGCACTGAAAAAACTGATTTATGACTGTTTTTCACACTTACGACCATTACAGCATCCCCAGGGCTCAAAATTCAGACGCTTGGCAACTGACTTGTGTTTATGACTGTCCTGGCATCCTGTGAGCCCCCTTTTGCAACCTTCTGACCAGCAAAGTCAATGGGGAAGCCAGGCTCCCTTCACGACCGTTTGACTAGCTAACGAACTGCAGTGATTCGCTTAACAGCGGTGCAGGGAAAGTTCGTCAAATGGGACAAAACTCACTTAACAACTGCCTCGCTTAGCAGCAGAAATTGGGGCTCAGATGTGATCATAAGTTGAGGGCTATCTGTACCTGTCATGGTGAGCCACCTGCAGAACCGGAGAGGCCCTGATCTGGGGACCCTTCCCACTGATTGTTGCCGTGCCTCCCTCCTTGCCCGCAGGACTCCCTGGGCCGCCCTCCGTCTCCTGCCGAGCTTCCAACTATGAGAACTTCTCCTGCTTCTGGACACCCAGCATTGAGACGCACCTGCCCACCAGATACATCACCAGCTACCTGTAGGTCCAGGGAGATTCTCCATCCTCCAGGTCATGGTCGTCCCAAAGGTGCTTTTTCCAAAAGGCAGCTGGACAAAAAAACAAGAGTCAAAAGGGACCTTGGAGGACGTCTAGTCCTGTCCTCTGCTCAGGCAGGAGACCCCCTAATATTCCAGACAAGTGGTTGTCCAATCCCTTCTCAAGAACCCCCAGTGATGAAGCACCCACAACTTCTGGTGGCAACTTCCATTCCACTGATCAATAGTTCTGACCATCAGGAAATCTCTCCTCAGTTCCAGGTTGCTTCTCTCCTTGATTAGTGGTTGTAAGTTGACCATCCAGGAGACTTTAGACCACTAGAAAGTCCAGAAAATTGTAAGTTCCCTTTTGGAAAAAGTACCTTCAGGAGACCAGATATCTGTACATCTGTGAGGGTGGGCTGGGTTGTGCAGGAGCCGAAGACTGTGAAGGGCTCTTTGGGGGGTGGGGTGGGGGGTCTGTGGAGGGGAGGGGGAGACATATGGGGCCAGGAGCATATTGGAGGGGGGGAGCTGGAGGGACCGAGAGGAGATGAAGAAGAAGAAAAGGCCTCTTCCTCCTCTTCCTTTATGGTCCTTCTGCTCCAGCTGAGGACCTTATAATAGAATAACAGAGTTGGGAGGGACCTTGTAGGTCATCTAGTCCACCACCACCCCCGCCCCGCCCAAGCAGGAGACCCTCCATCATTTCTGACAGATGACAGTCCAGGCTCTTCTTCAAAGCTTCCAGTGGTGAAGCTCCCCGGACTTCTGAAGGTCCTCTCCCAAGCCCCGCTTGGAACAAACGAAGACTTTTCCCCAAACATCTCCAGAAGGTCTCCATTGCGCCTTCCGAACGGACAGTCAGAGGAAGGCTGGTCTCCTCAGCCACGGGGGGAGGCAGCCTGCACCTTCTCCTTTGGCCCTGGAGCCCGGCCTTCCTCTTGAGTATCCGTTCGGAGGGCGAGGGGAGCCGTGACTGCCGGGGGACAGTCCTGAACGGAGCCATCACCGGTGCCGAGAAGGATAGTCTAAGGACCACCATCTTCACCCCAGCAGCTAGTGGGGGAGAGGCGTCTTGGGTGGAGTGGGGCCACGATTAGCAAGGCCATGAGACACAACTGGGGGACTTTTGCTGGGCTTGTATTAAGGTGGGGGGAGGGGGGAGACCCCCTGCCTGGTTTCTTAGCCAGGTCCAGCTCGAAGGAGGCAGCCACGGCCCAGCTGGTCCTTTCAGCCCACGTGGGAATAGGAGGCTGCCCGCCCCGTGGGGTCCTCTTCTCCAGAAGGAGACCCTCTGCTCCCCTTTGCTGCCTCTGGGGTGAGGCTGCCCAAAGTCACGGGTGGCCAGTCGGGGTCCTGGGGAAAAGGCCTGGCGTTTCTTCCAGGTGCCCAGGGGGTGAAGGAGGGTCCAGTTGGACCTCCCCTCTTCTTCCTTCTCTTTCTCATTTCCTCTTTCTCGTTTCCCAGGACGAAACAGCTGCCCGGAAGTGACAAGTCGAGGTAGGTCCTGCGCTTCGGCAGCTCAGGGGTGAGGAAAGAAGACAAAGAAGACAGAGCCTTGGTAGTACAGGGGTTTAAGGCACCCTGTTATTAAGCTGGTTATTAAGACCAGCTGCCTGCAATTACTGCAGGGTTCGAATCTCTCCAAGGCTCAAGGTTGACTCAGCCTTCCATCCTTTCTAAGGTAGGTGAAATGAGGACCCAGTTTGTGGGGGCAATAAGCTGACTTTGTATAAGTATACAAAAAGTATGAAGGCTACTGCTGAGCACATTGTAAGCCGCCCTGAGTCTCCGGAGAAGGGCGGCATATAAATCAAACTAAAAAAAAAAAAAATACGTTGCCTTTGGGGCAGCTGCAGGGAAGTGGGGTGCAGAGTTGGCAGAGTTTTATAGGGGGAGCTTGAAGTGTCTACATGCTAGGGTGACACTTGAGGGGTGTGTGTGTGTGTGTGTGTGTGTGTGTGTGTGTGTGTGTGTGTAGGTATGTTTATTCTTGTGAACATGCAGTTCCTCCGGGAGACCTAATTTAATTGACTCTGTTTATGTTTGCAGACCTTATCTTTTGATATGTGGATTGGGTCTGTGTAACATATTTGGGGGTTTGCTAATTTTAGTTGGTTAACGGATTCTCAGACCATCGTGGATTCTGTCAATGGTTTAAGGGGGGATGGAAGCAGTATAAAGAATAAGATATATCTGGATACAAAACTTCTCACAAGGTTTATTGTCAAGCCAGATAACGCCACCAGTTTGAGTAAACTTCCTTCCCAGATTGTGGACTTGCGGCTGGGGATTATGGGAGTTCACGTCGTAATTTCTCCTTGGCCAAGAGCTTAGAGGACAAACGCTTTTCTCTCGCCTCTGTGCCAGCAGGTCCCCGGTCATCCGTGTGGGTCCGTGTGTCCAGGATCCCGGCCTCCCCCTCTCCTGCACCGTCGGCAAGTCCCAGTTCTGGAGCTCATACCGTGTGAATGTGACGGAGGTGAACCCGCTGGGCTCCAGCTTCGCCCTGCTGGACATCATTGCCCACAGCATCAGTAAGGCCCGCATCAGCTCATCCTCGTTTAGCGACCAGCCACCAGGGCGTTAAGTGAAGCCGTTGCTAAGTGAAACTGCCAATGTGCTTACGATCCCCCTTCAGCTGTCCTTTGCTTTACAGTTAGTCCTCAACTTAAGACCACAATTGAGCCCAACAGGTTTCTGTTGCTAAGTGAGACAGTTGTTAAGTGAGTTTTGCCCCCATTTACGTCCTTTCTTGCCCCCGTTCTTAAGTGAATCACTGCAGTTGTCAACTTAGTCACACGGTTGTTAAATGAATCCAGCTTCCCCGTTGACCTGGCTTGTCAGGAGGTCGCAAAAGGGGTCACGACTGCAACGTCGTAAATACGAGTCAGTTGCCAAGCTTCTGAATTTTGATCATGTGGCCAAGGGGGATGCTGCAGTGGTTGTAAGTGTGAAAAACAGTCATAAGTCATTTTTTTCAGGGCCGTTGTAACTTTGAATGGTCACTAAATGAACTGTTGTAAGTGGAGGATTACCTGTATGTATATAATCAGAGCAAAACATTATAAAAATACAAATTTATCAGCTATAAATAAAGCTAAGAGAGAGGGAGGGAGGGAGGGGGGATCTGTTATTAATCTCAACCCCCCCTCCCCCACGTGAAGCCCCCTCCCTTGGAGCCCCAGGCCAACTGGCAGAGTCTTCAGGCTTTTGCAGGAGACGGGGGGGGGATTGGGGCTGACCTCACACTGGGGGGGACAAGAGCCACGGCAGAGAGGGACCTTCTGGACCCCTCCCCCAGCCAGAATACCCTTCCTCCTCCGCCAGAGTGGGGGGGACTAGTCCCCCAAGAGTGAGATGGTACCCCAATGTACCCAAATAAGGGGAGCTTGGGCCCAGATAATGGGGAAAGGCCTGGTTTGTTCCCCCTTCGGAGTCTCAGCTCCCTCCTCCTCTGCCTCCCCTCCAGCCAAGCCAGATCCACCAGAGCGTGTCCGGGTGGAGCCGGTGCCCCTGGCCCCCCGGCGGCTGCGCGTCAGCTGGGAGTACCCCTCCTCGTGGCCCAAGGAGCCTTCCTTCCAGCTCCACTTCCGGCTGCGCTACCGGCCCCTCCTTCACAACTCCTGGTCAATGGTGAGTCCAGAGGGTGCAGGGGTGGGGTGGGGTCTCAGGTATTGGGGGGGGGACTCCCTGCTTGCACATGGATCCTATGTGCCCTTCCCGGAATGCGCCCCATGTATTTGGGGTGGCTGGTGGAGGGGGGCAGCAGTCGGTTCAGAGGGGCTGGGGTCAGTGGGTGGGGCTGAGGGGGCCACCTCTTGACTCGGCAGGTGGAGACCAGCAACGTGTCCGAGGTGATCACGGATGCCGTCATGGGCCTGGAGCACACGGTCCAGGTGAGCGCCAAGGACTTCTTGGATGCTGGCAGCTGGAGCGAGTGGAGCCCGGAGGCGCGAGGCTGGCCGGCTGCAGGTAAGGGCAGGGAAAGGGCACCACCTGGAGGGAACGAGGAGAGGAGAACTGGGCAGTGGAAGAGGGCTGGGAATGGGGTGGGGTGGGGGAGTAAATCTTGGGCAGATGTTAAAATAGGAGAGACCTACAAGGTGGACCTTGACTTATGACAACAATTCAGCCAAAAACTTCTGTTGCTAAGGGAGACAGTTGTTAAGTGAATTTTGCTTCAGAGCCGTTGCTTCAGCCGAAGGAAGATGAAGAGTGGCAGAAGGCAGCAGCCTCTTCTGACAGGGGTGGGGGGTGGGCTCCAGATCTGTGGGGCAACAGGGCTGGGGATTCTGGGCCTGGTGTGATCGCTCTGGGCCCCCCCCTGTGGTTATTGGTCGGCCTTCTCAGTCTCTACACCAGAGGTGGGCAGCTATGCAACTTTAGGACCTGTGGACTTCAATTCCCAGAATTCCTGAGCCAGCTGGGTTGCTGCCAGGAATTCTGGGGGTTGAAGTCCACAGGTCCTAAGGTTCCCATAGTTTGCCCATTCCTGCTCTCCATGTAGCCAGTGGGTCAGGCCGTGGGGAGGACCGTGTCCCCCACCTTGCATTTTCTCAAGCGGTCCAGTTTTGGGTCTCTTCCCTCCTGCAGGACAGGTCGCTGAGCCCAGCGAAGCTGCTCCGGACACCGTTGAACTGGACCCGCCAGCCGAAGAGCCCTCTCCAGCCCCCGACAACAAGCCGGTCGGTACGTGGGGGGCCTGAAACCGAGGTCGGCAGGGAGAGCGAGCACTTCAGTCCCCGGATATTTGCTTTGCAGGATGAAGATCTCGGCAAAGATCTGTAGATTCCCCCGGGGCAAAAGAGCTCCCGTGGCTGTGTGTGTGGCCCTGCAGCCCCTTTTGCTGGCCTGGTCTGGCCTGGGCCCCCACCGCCTCTGCCCTCGACTTGTAAGGGGCCGGGCGAGAGCTGGCAGGTGCCCGCAGGGTGACGGAGCTGAAGGGTCGTCTTCTGTCTCCAGCAGGGCATGGAGACTCCATGGAGATGGTGGCAATGCTGGTGTCGCTCGGGGTCTTCGCCTTCTTCGCCCTGGTGGCCCTGCTGCTCTTTGCCTTCCTGGTGTGGTAGGTGGAAAACCTGGAGACGGGGTGGCCGGGCTGGAGCGTCCACTTGCCCCCTGGGCTGGGCAAGGAGCCTCGGTCTGGGGGGAGAAGCCTTGTAGGAGGACCTCTATGGAGATGCCGCCATGCGGGTCGTGGGTGTCTCAACGGTGCTTTTCCCAAAGGCAGCTGGGACTTCTTGCTTTTTTCCTCCAATATGTGTTGCTTCTCATCCAAGGAGCTTCCTAAGAATGGGCTGCTTGGATGAGAAGCGAAACGTCTTCAAGAGAAGCCCCAAGAAAGTCCAGCTGCTGTTTGGGAAAAGCACCTGGAGGACTTGTTGGAAAAATTTCTCCATCTTTCTCCTTCTCCCTCTCCTCTCTTCCCATGGAAAGGATCCGGGCGAAGAAGCAGAGCAAAGAGGCCGACAAACACCAGGAGCTGCTCTCCGCTGCCACCCACCTGAAGGCCTTGCCAAGTGAGTACAGCTCCAGCCCTCCCCCCCCCGGTTGGTGGGACCCCCTCAAGAAGGGGGCTCAGGTCCCATGCATGGAACAATTGGGATCCTGCTGGGGAGAGGATCGTGGAGGAATAATCAAATCAGGGCAGGCCACTATATATAAGCAAAGAGAAAACTCCACACACCCCTTCTAGCACTGATGGTGTTACCTAGCTGGGTCATGAAACGTTTGCAAGAAAACAATTAAGCTCAGAGAGCACCAAGGACCCCCCAGTTCAATCCTGAGCTGCACACATTCTCTTCCGTTGCTATCAAATCAGTGGTAACAACTCTTTTGGGGGGGCTCCCGATCCACTGGAAGCGTGTTTCAGCCTTCGGTAGATGGAAGGTTTCCATGGCTCATGGCTGGTCTCTGAAATTAAATTGTTTTTAATCCCGTCAGTTCAGGCCAGAGGTGACTGGAGAGGCCCTGCAGCTGGACGGTCAAGAAATTAATGGTGCAGGCTCTTTAAAGGGCCTCCCGGGGATCCAGATGTGTTGTGGGCAGAAGTGGCCTTGGTCCACAGCACAAAGCAAGTGGCTGCTTGAGCTGAAGTAGGCTGGGAATTTGGGGGGGTCCAGTTGGTGAGATGCTGCCTGTCCTAGGAGAAATGCAAGCACAGCTTCCCTCCAGAAGTTGTGGGTGCTCCATCACTGGAGGGTTTCAAGAAGAGAGTGGGCGGCCACTTGTCTCCTGCTTGAGCAGGGGGGTTGGACTAGAAGACCTCCAAGGTCCCTTTCTATGACCTAAGGCAGATGTTCGTTTCCGTTCTGTCTTGACCAGCCTCCCCCTCCTCTCCCCCTCCCTCCCTCTCTCTGCAGAAGGCCAGATCTTGTAGCACAGCTCTGCCTCCGCTTGGCAGATCAGCCTCCTCCCCCAGCCAGGGGACCCCGGACCTCCCCCACTGCAGCTGCTGTTGATTCTCCAGGGCGTGTGACCTGGGCACCCTGCCCTCCCCGGCCACCTTGGACCTGCTGCTTATCCGCTGGGACTTGGCATCGGTGGCCCGGCTAGTCCCCACCCTCTGCTGCAGACAGGCTGCCTGCCGGAGGCTGCTGAGTTTGGACTCGTCGGGGAGCAGCCGGTTGGAGAAGGGGCGCTGTTGGCTGGGCTGAGCTCCTGGGCCCCCCGTCTCCCCCGTGAAGCTGAAGCTCAGCAGACCCAGACCCAGACCAGGCTCCTCGGGACGGCCGTGCTGAGAGAGAGAGCGAGAGAGGAGACCGGAAAGAGCTTTTGGCCCAAGGGGAGGAGGACAGCCAGGCAGAGCGGAGGCAACGGCAGAGACTTCCCCGTGTGCCAGTTGTGGGGCTGTGTGTGTGTGTGTGTGTGTGCAGATACATCTGTGCTTGGTTTGGTTCAGAGAATTAAATTTCAAATGTGGGTTTTTTAATGAATCTTGGGCAGTGCAAACCTTCCTTGCGTGGAGAAGATGCCGGGTTCTGCTACTCCCTGGCCAGAGGGCTGAGGACCCCCCACCGCTGCCTCTTACAGCGCCCCCTGGCTGTGAGAGCCAAGTGCCAACCGCAAAGGCCAGAGGAAGATGGGCAGAGAGGTTGGCGTGTCCTGCAGAGGGAGAGGGCAGTCAATGGCTGCTCAAGAGGAGTTCCAGGCCTGGAGGAGCTCTGGCATGCGGGAGGGGGGCACCTTTCCAAGCACCCTGCTTGCTTCTCCCCCGAAGGAGACCGAAGGCCAACGTTCCGGAGTTGGGGGAGCAGAGGGGTGCTTGGTCTGCTGGCAAACCAGCACAAGAAACTCCACCTCCTGACACCGGCCAGGCACCACCATGGAGGTGGCCTTGGGAGGGCAGGAGGGGGGAGACGGGCAGTGGGCAGCCTCATCCGGATGGGGCCACTGCAGGCTGGTTTGTAGGTTTGCCCCTGGGTGGGCTACTCTTTGCCACGGCCACCAGGCCTTCAGGGAATGAGACCTCCAAAGGTGGGGGGTCCTCTCTGGAACATGCAGGGCTCGAATGGAGAGGAAGAGGGGAAAGGGGGGGGCTGCCTCTCTTTCCTGGATCCCTGCATCAGCCCGGGGGTGGAACAAGGCAGCTGCCCTGAGTTCGAGAGAGATTGGGCCGGGGACCATCCCAGCCGGAGACCCAGGGCAGGTTGCCAGAAATGAGAGGACGGCTGTGGACTAAGACCAGGCTAAAGAGACTAGAATCCTAGGGCTGGAAAGGTCCTTGGAGGTCATCTAGTCCAGCCCCTTGCTCAAGGCTGGAGTCCTTACCCATCCCAAGTCAAATGGTTCTTCGATCTGTTTTCGAAAACCTCCAGTGATGGAAGCTACTTTGAGAGGTTGTGTGAATAAAGGACTTGCAGGCGCCCTGTGAGGAAGGAGAACCAGGTCCATCTTGCGGACAGAGGACCTTTGGGGGCCCAGCTGTTGCCTTGCTCAGCAGAGGGGAGTTAGCGAGTGGCTCCTTCGAGGGGCCTCCGACCACGTAGGGACAAGAGTTACACTCACATCGAAGAAATGGGGGAACCGAATCGTTTTAAAAAGGATGCAAAAGGAGGGACCGAATGAAACGTGAATGACAAAAAATGAAATAATTTTTAAAATAATTTTAAATAATGGAATTGTTGAATTGTCCCGCAGCGAGTTGGCTCGTGTCAAGTTGGCCGTGGCGATTTGTCCCGTTCCCTCCATGGAGCGTGGGTGGGTGGGCACTGCACAGACCCCAACGGCTAGTTTAGAATTTTCTGCCCTAGTCCTCGCCCACCTTCCCAATTCGCTGGGGCATCAGGCTCCAAGCTGGGGAGGGGGCCACGGGGAGCAGCCCAAGGCTTCTGGCTCCTCCAGAGACTTTGGCTGTGCCAGGCTGGCCTGGGCTTGTCCAGAGACGCCAGGCAGCCAAGCGGTGTGGCGGGAGAGATGTCAGCCCTTGGCAAATCCCACAGCCAGAAAACGGGTGGAAATTTCCTGAGATGAAGGTCTTGAGTGCCAGATGGGCGGAGAGGCTAAAAATAGCCGGGAACAGGCTCTCCTGCCAGGAGCTGCCCTGGCCGGCCTCCCGGATGGCTCACGGCAGCCCTGCCTGCCAACGGGTGGCTACCTTGGAATGTGGGTGGGGAAGGAACCTGCATCCCAAAAGGCTCGTTTGTGTCATTCAAAGCTGGGGTTCGGGGAGATGATTGGCCCTGGGGGGGGTTGCTGAATGGCGGTTCTGGGGTCCTGCCAGGGAGGAACGGAGGCTGTGATGCAGAATTGGGGCTGTCTGGGCAGGAGGGCACCCAGGGTCCGGGGCGTGAGATTTATGCTGCTCGTAAGGGAATTCGGCAATGGGTGAAATAGCTAATCTGCTTTCAAAGAGGTGTCTGTGCTTGGTGGGGGGGGAGGGGGCAGAAGGATCCAGGGGGTTCGTTTAGTCTGGGTGTGTTATAAACCACAAACCCCCCAAAAGTTTGGAAGTGGGGGGAATCAAGCCGTTAATGCCTCCCCCAACAACTGGCCTGCAGCAGAGCACCGAGAATAACAGAGTTGAAAGGGTCCTCGGAGGTCTTCTAGTCCAACCCCTCAAGCAGGAGACCCCATACCATTTCAGAGAAATGGCTGTCCATCTCTTCTTAAAATTTTCCAGTGTTGGCGCAACTCTCCACAACTTCTGGAGGCAAACAGTTCCACCGATGAATTAACAGAAAAAACAGAGTTGGAAGGGACGTCTAAGTTAATTCTGAAGACTTCCAACTTCTAAGACTGAAGTTTTGCAAGTTAAGACTTCCCTCTCTCCCACCTCTACGCAAGCACGCTGTTATCTTGTCTCAGATTCCTGGGGAGAACACCATTTTGCAGCAGGAATCTCATTCATTATCAGAAGATCATTATAATTAGTACATCCTGGGATCTCTTGACCCCGAATCTCCTAGGATGTCCACAAGTGGAGTCTACAAGTGGAAGCTTCAGCTGGCCACTCTTAATCTTGTAATTTTTGTTCCTGCTTAATGTCTGTCCAAGTAAGGGCAAACCTTGGCCAAATTCCATTCAAGCATTCAAGCATTGCCAAACAGCAGCCTACATCTGGGCTCTTCTTCAGCAGTGAAGCTGGACGTGGCCTGGCCAGAGACTTGGACTGAGCTCTTTGCAGTTTCAGGTCCTGGAGATAAAAGTCCATTCCACCATCTGCTCTACAGGAAGGCAGATTTAATAGGACACAACCCCACCCCCAAAGGAGAAACAGCCAGCTGTGCCCTGTTGTGCCACAAATATTCTAGCTATCAGCACAAGGAACTTGTTCTGCCTCTTAGCAACGTCCCTGGCTGCCCAGTGGAGGTTTTGCTCACCTAGTTAGTTGTGGGCAACTGGCCAGCTACCCCCGTAAGGGAGGAAAACTCCGTATGGTGCGGCTTGCACCAGATAACCAGAGTCTCTTAGCCACTTGACACACCTGTTGTGTTGTGGTTCTGCTTCCTTAAGCTCACATGCACTTTGTTCTTTGTTTTATGGTCTGGACTTTCTAATTCTCGCAGGCTTTGTTCAGCTGCCATCCTCTGTCTGGCCGTAATAAAGAGCTCACCGTTCATTCAGTCCCTGCACCATAAAAGGAATTGGCAGAAGATCCTTCAGGGCATTTTGGAATTTATTTGGTAGTTCCTAAGTCCAGAGGGAGAAAGAGGTGGGCTGGGGGAACAAAAGGTTAAATGAGAGTTGCCCAATGCCAACAATGAGGTAAAGTCAGCCTTAAGTCCAGCCGGGCTCCTTGGGCGCATGCAGGGAGAAATGGGAGAAGCAGAGAACTGGTTGGCACCACCTGTTCCTGGTTCTGCAGTCAAATGCCAACCAGGTGCAACGCTGCTCGGTTTGGCCACTCGATCCTTTGCGAGCAATTCCAGGATCCTTCTCTTCAGCAGGAACGGGCATTTTGTTGGAGGAAGTAAATAAAAACGAACTTTAGCCTGGTGACTCTTCAGCTACTTTTTCCCCTGGTCAGGAATCAAGGCTGCCTTCAAATATGACCATGCAACGCCCCCTAGTGGCAGAGGAGAGAGGTCGCTCAAGGCTCCTTTCAGGTCTGACTATGCAGCGACCCCTAGTGACAGGAGAGAGATCTCAAGGTTCCTTTCATGTCTGACCATGCAATGCCCCCTGATGGCAGAGGAGAGAAATTGCTCAAGATTCCTAAAGTGCAACTAAAGCGGCAAAACTTTAGTTGGGAAACCAGCGAGGCAAACAGAAGGGCTTCGTTCATCCAGCTGAAATGAGGCACAGCGGGAGCAAGGGAGCCTGGGGCCACCCAGGATGAGCCTCAGTGCCCCCAACCCACCAGGGGAAGCCAGAGGGAGGCAAAGTGGAACAGCTGAGGGCACAAGCCACGCCTTGACTCTGGCACAGAACAGCCCTATCCAGCTGCGAGGACCACAAATCCATGCTTCCCCACCTCCCACCCTGCTCCAATGATTCTGCCTGGGCTTTCAGAGGTGGGAGGTGCTTCGGAGGGCACCGGGATGGGCAAGGCTGCCCTAAGGTGGGCCTTCTGCTGCTCCATTCGGCCACAGCCAGGAGTCCCGAGTGCTGGGACTCTCCCAACTCAGAAGTTGGGGGTGGGGGGTGTCTGATCTTGAGCCACAGTGGGGAGACGGACTTGCACCCAGAGCTGCCTGGCAGTCCCTTCCACTCCTCCTGCAGTCAGGCAGGGGAGGCTCTGTTGATCTGGGACAGGGACATTCACGCCACGGCCGGCTCTCCACGGGACAAAAGTTACATCCCAGTAATATCGAAGAAATGGTGAAATAGAAGCATTAAAGAAAGGATGCTAAGAGGAGGGACGGAAAGAAACGTGAATGACAAAAATTCAAAATATTTTTAAAATTATTTAAAATAATTAAGTAAATTGTTCTAATTTCCCCCAGCGAATTGTCCCGTGGTGAGCTGGCCACAGCAAGTTGGCTGTGGCAAATTGGCAGCGGTGAGTTGGCCCTGGTAAGTTGTCTCTTTCTTTGAAGCTTGGGCCGGCGTTCCTGCCACCGGCTGCCCTCTAAACCAGCCAGACCTGGCAGTTAGGCTGGGAATCCAGGCCACCCAAGGAGTGGCACATGGGCCTCACTCACAAACAGCTCCAGGCAGGCTCTGTCTTAGGCGGCATATCCAGTGGAACGTGGCCCCCGGTTGTGACGTGGCAGCCCCCTTCCTATGCCCTCATGGGCTTGGCAAGGGCTGATCCCTGATTTAGAAACCTCTGTCCAGCTGTGGGCGTTTGATCCCCTCCTTCCTGCCTTGTTCCTTGAATCAGGGGACTCCAACCTTGGCGACTTTAAGAGAATTTGCTGGCTGGAGAATTCTGGGAGTTGAAGTCCACAAGTCTTAAAGTCGCCAAGTTGGAGACCCCTGCCTTAAATGAAAGGTATTTATTTAATTATTTTTTTATTTATGACCCGCCTTTATTACTTCTAGTAAACAATGCAAGGAGAGGAACATATCTAACACCCCTTCCTCCTCCTATTAAATGAAGGATTCCCGAATCGCCACCAATTCATTTAGGCTTATGGTTATTTTCGTCAGCCCCAAAAGGGGCTGCTTAACTGCTTAAGACTCCCGCCAAGCAAAGTTCTCTGGCTCTCGAAAAGAGATCACACCAGTTTTATACTTTTGCAAAACTTTTATTTGGGACTATAGAGATGAGTAAAGAGACGGGATGAACAGGACTACACAAAATTTGGAACGGATTTAAGTAGCAGCATTAAAGTTCTGTTTCTCGGGCTAAAGTCCATCATTTTGCTCCCAAGTGTGGTGAATTTTTCTTGTGATGTGACAGCACTGTTGCGCTGGCCTGTAGACAAGCTGCGAATGTTCCACCACCAGGATCACGACTGCCATCTGTGGCTTGGCTAGAGGTGAGCAGGGGGTTGGACTAGATGATCTATATGGCCCCTTCCAACCCTATGATTCTATGAGCAGAATTACCAGCCTTGCAATCAGGGGTGAAATGCTCCCGGTTCGGACTGGATCGCCCAATCCGGTAGCGATGGTGGCAGGTGGTTCAGAGAACCGGTAGCAAAAATCCCTGTGCGCCCCCCCCCCCATGCCCAGCTGAGCCGCACGATCATCAGAAGGGGTTTTTTTTTTTACTTTTAAAAGCATTTTTTCTACAATCTCTTCGGCCGAAAAAATGCTTTTAAAAGTAAAAAAAAAGCCTCTGATGATCGCGCAACTCAGCTGGGATCCTCAGAGGCTTTTCAAAGCATTTTTTTCTGCAACCTCTTGGCCGAAGAGGTGGTAAAAAAAATGCTTTGAAAAGTCTCTGACGATCCCAGTTGAGTTGCCTGATCGGCAGAGGCTTTTCAAAGCATTAGAAAAAATGCTTTGAAAAGTTAAAAAAAAAAAAAGTTGGTCACACCCACCCAATCACATTACCCCCCCCACCAAGCCACGCCCACAGAACCGGTAATAACAAATTTTACATTTCACCCCTGCTTGCAACATGTGGCTATAGGAAAGGGATGGGGAACGATGGCCCTTTTAATGACTTGTGGACTGCAACTCCCAGAATTCTGGGCAAGTCCACAGGTCCTAAAAGTTGCCGTCAGGAATTCTGGGAGTTGAAGCCCACAGGTCCTAAAGGGGCCATAATATCCCAGCTCTGCTATAGGGGGAGCTCAGTGCCCCCTCCCCACTGTGGCCAAATCCCAATTTAAAGTCCTTTTGCTCAGTTTCTCTTGAGCTGTGAGTTGAACCGCAGGACCCTGGCCCAACTTTAGGCAGGGCTCCCTGCTCCAAGAAGGGTCCCCCCCAGTCCATCACTCACCCACCCCAGCCCCTCCTCTCTCAGATCTCCGCCACAGTGCTATGTTTGCCCCTGCACCTGCTGTGGCCTGCTGCTACCAGGGGTAAACTTCCCCCTCCCCCTTCTTCAGTCTCCCACCTACCCGATTAGGAGGGGTCCCTTCTGTCTCGCCAGCACATCCGGAGCCAAGGGAAGAAATAGAAGCAGCCCCAGTAGATCCTGGAAAAGAGGGGAGGGGGACAGGAGGAGGCAGCACAAACACATACAGAGAGAGAGGGGGGGGAGAGACCCTTGGTGAGAGAGCCAAGGCAGTGGGCGGCCCTGGGGTCAGAAAGAAAGCATCTGGATGGCTTGCTGGGTCACGGCTACGGGTTGCAGCCATGCGGGGCAGAAAGGGCCCAAAGGGGGGTCTGTGGGGGTATAGGTAGTCCTCGGCTTACAACAGTTCGCTTAGGTAGAACACCACTGAAATGCAGCCGTGGCATTTTCTCCCTTAGTGGCCGTTTCCTGAGTCCAAAATGAGCCTCCGCTAAAGGCCAAATCAAACTATTCAGATCCGTTTCCAAGTGGGGGGGTGATTTTCTAATTACGGGTAGTCCTCAACTTACAACGGTTCATTTAGTGACCATTTGAAATTACAATGGCACTGGAAAAAATGCCATTGCAGCATCCCTGCGGTCACAGGATCAAAATTCGGAGGCTTGGCAACCGGCCTGTACTTATGACACGTGATCCCCTTTTGCGACCTTCCGCCAAGCGAAGTCCCGGGGAAACCAGATTCACTTAACATCCGTGCCAAGAAAAGTGAAATGGGGCAAAATTCACTTAACAAAGGTCTCACTTAGCAACAGAAATTTTGGGCACAATTGTGGTCGTAAGTGGAGGACTTGTGTCAAGTTGTGAGCCGCAGGGCCTGGCCGGGCTCCTGGGGGAAGTCACGGGTGGGCTTTCTCTCTTAATGGGGGGACCCTCCTGCCCTGCTGCAGCCCCCTGCTCCCCACCTCCTGAAGGCAGCCTTACCCCCCCTCCCCAGCATCTCCCACAAAGGGGGCCCTTGGCAGAGGGGCAGAAGGGAGGGGCAGGGGGCAAGGGGAGAGGGAGTTGGGGGCTTGGGCTGGCCGGCAAGTGGGGAGAGGGGGCGGGGCGGTACTCACTCCTCCTGGGCTGACTCCGACTCAAAGTCCAGCGTCCAGCTGGCCGGCTGCAGCGGCTCCCGGTGCTCCAGCCCCTCCTGCCCAAGAGGAAAGGCATTTCTGGCCGGTTTTGGGGAGGGGGCATGTCCCACGTCCTTCCGGGGCCCCCACTGCCCCCATCAGACTTGCCTTGAGTCTGCCCGGGTCTCCTTCTTTTGCCCCCCCCGGGCATCCACCCCCGGTGCCCGTTTTCTCGGCTCACGGTCGCCAAATTGGGGCGGGGGTCGCGGCATCCCTTGTCGGCTAAGGAAGATTTCTTTGCAGGTCCTCCGCAGCCCCCGCCCTTCCAGCCCCCGGGCCTGTCTTCCCGGGAGGGGCCGTTGAAATCGCCCTGGAGGGTCGCTTGCGGGGAGGGGGGGCTCCTGCCCGGGGTGGGTCCCACTTACCTGGAGGCGGCGCTGCTGCTCCCGCCCTTCGGGGGGCTGCGGAGGCGGCCCTCGATCGCCCCGGTCGCTCTGCGGGTCAAAGGAAGGAGAGGTCGGAGCCCGGAGGAGGCGCCCGCCCTACTGCCATCCGTCAAAAATGGTGTTGGGTCTGCTTGGGCAGCGGGTTGGACTAGATGACCTGCAAGGTCCCTTCCAACTCTTGTTCATCTGGAATCTGACTCAGGGCCGCCCCGCCGCCCGCTCTACCTGCCTGGGACGCTCCGCTCCTGCGCCCGGCGGCTTCTCGCAGCCCCGCGGCTCCCGCCGACGCTGCTCCAGCTGCTCGCTCGGCTTCTGGGGGCAGATCGGGGGAGGAAGGGGGACAGGCGTGAGACTGGAGGGGGTGAATAGGGAGGGGGGTCTTCTGCAGAACCTCCGCCCCTCCCGCCTGACCCTCTCCCCTAAACTCGGGGGATTCTGCCGGCAGGATGGAACAAGCGCTCCCACCGGCTGGGGAGGGTCTCCCCACCGATGAGCGGAGGAACGGAGTGGTCGCTTGGCCGGGGAGAGCAGCGGGTTCTTCAGAGGGAGGAGGGGGCGCTTGAGGGCTGGACCGGGGCCAGAGGTGGAGGTTCCTTCCCCGGGGAGGCTGCCCCCACCGGGGGGTCCCTAGCGATTTCTCACACTGGCGAGAGGGCTCCGGTGGCAGCTGTGCCAAAGGAGAGTGGCACCTTCAAGAGACAAGCGGATGAGCCCCCTTGCTGGGGTCCAGGTTGGGCAAGGGGGGTCTTTGGGCTCAGCCCCCTCCCTGCTCTTTGCCGAGATGGCTGGACTGATAAGCGAGGAAGGGGATCAAGGTCTGGTCTCAGTGTCTGAACTGAGCGGGGCAAAGCAGGTGAGCCACCTCCAGGGGAGGGGAGGGGAGGGGCCGTGAAGGAAGGACTGACCTGGTAGGGGCTTTCTGCCCGTCCATTGTCCCCCCTCCTCTCCCAGGGCAACCTGGGCACAGCCTCTCTCTTGGCCTGGGCGGGGGGCCCTTGGGGGCTCTTCAGGCTGTACAGCTCAGTCAGCAGGGGCTCCATGGCACTTCGGGGGAGGGGAGAGAACCTGGAGGGGGGCAAAATGCAGCAGGACCAGGGTTGGCACCCCACAGGAAGTGGGATCTCGCACCCACAGCCCCAGTCCCTGCTGGCTGGGCTCCTCCAAGGACCCCGTGGCCCTAGGACTCGGCCATCCTGGGCAGGGCCAGAGCTGAGGGGGGGAGGGGCTCAGAGAGGCACCAAAGTTTGGCCCAAATTTTGATCATGGAATTGTGGGGATGCCACAACAGCCGTAAGTGTGGGGACCTGTCGTAAGTCACATTTTTCAGAGCCATTGCAACTTTGAATTCTCACTAAACAAACGGTCATAAGTGAGAGGACTGGTCTTAAGTCAGTATTTTCACAGCCGTCATAACTTTGAACGGTCACTATACAAATGGTCGTAAGTGGAGGACTACTCTACCTGTAAATCTATTTCAAAGCAGATTTAAATGTTATGGGCTTTTGGTCCAAGGGCAGATTATTGTTGCTAAAAAGAAAGTAATGCAATGATCATCTTGAAGCGTAGCAAGGCAGTGGGCGCACCCTGGGCTGGGCCTCGTGGGCATAGGGCAGGGGTCCCCAAACTTGGCAACTTTAAGGCTTGTGGACTTCAACTCTATGCTGGCTGGAGAATTCTGGGAGTTGAAGTCCACAAGTCTTAAAGTTGCCAAGTTTGGAGACCTCTGGCATAGGGGCTCTAACTCTGGTTTATTAGATAAATCCCAAGAGTTGGGCTCCAAGACCGGGCAAGCAAACCACCTTATGGTTTATTGTAACAGGCAGCTTCCCTCCCCTCCTTTGATTCCTCAGATGGGCTCCTAGGAATCACCTGGGCCTCCCTCCTGACCTTCACCCAGGCACAAGGAAGTCCTCCCTCTTGGCAGTCCACCCAGTTCTCCTTCTCCAGGGCTACCTGGCCCACCCAGGTCCTCGGTCACTTCCTTCGGCAGGGGACAAGGGCCACGGGGGGGAGAGGGGGGGGTCTTCAGCAATGGGCAGGCTCCACCCAGGCAACCGCCTTCCCTGGAGACTCTGCCGGAAGGGGGCAGGGGCCCAAGATGGCTCCCAGCATCTGTTTCTCCTCATTGGAATTTCTCCAGAGTTCTGGATGGTACCACCAGGCTCAGGAAGGGGGGGGTCTGTCAAGTATTTGCAAGCCATTGGCACATATATCATACAGAACACTAGTGGAGGCAGAAAGTGCCCCCACCCCTATGTGGAGAGGAGGGGCTTACACTGAGTATAAAACCCCCTCTAACCTTTCCACCAAGCTCTCTTTTACGTTTGTTCTCCAGGAGTCATGATCTTTGATAGGGGTGGTCACACATGCTGTGTGCCCCCTATCCAAA